AAGGTGAAAAGTAGAGAAAGAAAATGCTCACGTTTTCTTTTGTATAAATTTCTAAGTCTATATAATTGTTGCTGGTGATACATTTTTAAATTTCAGGTAGTATTTTCAGTCTGAGAGTATAGTACAATTTTAAAAGAATTTTTTTCGATATACTTTGTGAGACGATAACACTTGTAGGGTTTTTATCAGAACATTATAACTACATTTTTGGAATTTTAAGAAAACATGTTTGGAACTTTTTTTACATTTGAAATCTATCAGTTATAATGGTTTTTAAAGATTTTCTTAACTAGTGAAATATTAGTTTTTTTTCTGTTGAAAGCATGAACAATTTTAAACACTACACTGCATTCAAGTTTTTATTTGTCAAAAAAATGTAGCTATTATATTCTAAAAATTATAGGTTGTTTTTTCATTAAAAATAACACATATTTGAAAAAAGCAACAAATAGTTTTGTTCACCCATTGTATCAAAAGTAAATAGCATCCGTGATTTGAACAATGCGCTTAATACGTAAACTTTACAAAGTATCACATTCCAAAAAGCTTAGTAAAAGCTGTTGACGTTGTACACTTTCCGTAAATGCGCTCTATACGTAGTGGAAACGTAAAATAAGAGTAAATTGAATATTGAAAAAATCGAGCACGTTTTTTACAAAAAAAAAATGTTATTTTTAAATCTTATACAAGTCATATAAATATTGTCAGAAATAACCAACTAAATAAAGTAGCATATATTTTCAGCAATAAAGTGCTAGTTATTAAGTTTTTTAAAAATGCTATATTTTTCATTAAGTGGTAGCATTTGTTAAAAATTAACATTTGCGCAGAGCTTTAAATTAAAATTTTCAAGCAAACGTCAAAGTAAGTATTAATATTGTAAAAATTGCATTCCAAAATGTATCAAAAGCTATAGCAGTTTTTTGTATAATGTAAAGGAATTGAAAGCTCTGAGACGGCAATACAATCGTATTAATACCGTACTTAAACTTTTTGTGAAGCATTATTGAAGTCACGACATCTTTTCATTCATGGCAAAAAAAAACTATATTCCCAAGAAACATCATTTATAAATAACATCATATTATATAAAATTTTTTCTATTTTGAATTTTATTTGAAGGAAATTTTAGAAAAATGGGATAGAATAGTAATATTGTAAAATTTAATTAATTTTTTTTTGCAATTTTTGTACTTTTACAAAGTGTGTACTAATAAATATTTTAAACTATGATCAAAGAAAATATTTAATTTTGTTTGATCTTCAGAACTTTAAAGTTTCTGAAACTTTTACGAAAATTGTAGGGATAAAAAAATTAAAAACATATAAAATAGAAAAAACTGGTGTTTTTCCAAAGCTCAAATGCATAATATTCCGAAAGTACATAAAATACAAAATCAAGTAATGTGTCGCTTCAAGCAACTTACTAGTCCTTTCAGAAACTGTTTATTTAAAGCCTATCTTTTTCGAAAGTGAAGTTATAAGCAAAAAACCTTAGGCAGACAAATATTTCGTGAAAATTCGTTAAAATCACTGTATCTGGGAAACCGTTGACTTTTGACAACTAGTGTCAAACAAATATTTTATATATTTTTGATGCCCTAAACAATGATATATAAAATTGTACTCTTTACTGACTCACCCTGTATATAGAAAACTGCTTCAATGAATTAAATAAAATATAGTAGGGAATAGATTCTAGTCACTAGAACAAGATAATTGTAAAATAATGTTATTCTTGCGAATTTCAAAAGAAGAAAAAGGAAAAAAAAGCAATAAAGAAGAAAAAAATCTGGTTAATATCAATTGTACAATTTCTCAAATTTGAAAAAATATACAAAAAACAGCTTAATGCTTCGAAAAAAAAATGTGCACTATTTTTTTTTGTAGCATAACATTTATTGAAATCTTAAAAATTAATAGAGTCTGGCATCTTTTTTCAAATAATTTTTTTAATGTTTTAATTACACAAAACTTTAAATATGTAAGCACTAATAAAATAAAAAGAGATCGAATTTTAACATTTTGTAATTTGAAAAAAACTGATCTTGTGTGTGACGTATGATGTTAAAAAGGGATAGATTCCATAAGAACACGTGTAAATTTGTCAGCTGTAAACTGCCATTCTCTTAGGGCCAAGGTCTGGATTTTTGTCAGCCGTACCTCTAACCAATGGTTTGTAATATGGTACTTTTCCCTTCAACAAGTGAAAATACTGTTTTTAAAAACAATATTAATGCCATATATATACATACATATGTATATCTATCAGGCCTCCAAGCTAAAATATTTTCCGAAATTTTGAATAGGAATAAAATACAAAAACAATTCTTAATCCTTTATATTTTCGAAGTATGCGGATTCTAAATATTTTTTATATTTTTTTGTGAAATTTTTGAGTATTCTTTATATATCTCATTTTAAAAATTGTAATTTTTTTTTAAATGAATTTTTCAGATGGAATTTAGCAATGGATTTTTTTCAATCAGTAGAGCCAAAAATATTGATCAATTTCCTTCACACAAATAAATTCCGACGCACCTTCCATTTAAACTCCATATAAATTTGGAATTTATTTTTGATTTTTTCTCTGAGCTTGATGGCCTGTAGATATACATACATATATATATGGCATTACATATATTAATATATTTCAGAAATTGCTTACCTTTACCCAGCATTTACACGTACAAGTTACTTGCAAGAAAGTTGCAATACATACAAAAATTTTACTAACACATTGAAATATTTCTACTTGCTTGTTTACTTGCACTTCAACTTGCAAGAAAATTTTGCTGCCAGTAATTTGAGCAAGTAATTTGACATATTGAGAAATTCACAAAAAAAAATTTGTTGTTTTGATTTTTTTTTTTTTTTAATTTAAAATTTTTGAATTTTGTTTTGAAAAAATTAAACTTAGCAAACTTATGGTTTCTAAAATTTATAAACAATTATATACATTGCTAGTTGTTTTCTTCTCAAAGACATTTTCAAAAATTAACTTGCTAAACGCCTACGTCATAATAGCAAGTAATTTGACATTTCGAAAAACTAATTGACAATTAATATTATACAAACTTGCATGCAAGTAACTTGTATGTGTAAATGCTGGGTTAGGATAAGCATTGTATGCAATTTTTGAAATAAAACAAAAAAAATTAAAGAAATTTCGACATAACGGTCGAATTTAAGAGTTAATTGCCTGATTTAAGAACAATAATTATATTTTTTAATGTCATGTTTCGAAAGGATAGGATGCAAAAAATTAAAAATTTAGAAATTTCGAGAGGTGATAACTTGAAAACGATTGGTGGTGGAAAAAACTACTAAATTTTAGTATAGAAGAAAAACGATATCGAAAATTTTTAAAAAACCGATTTTAGATAACGGTAAATTTTGTTTTTATGGTCATTTTGTTTTTGAAAAATTCAATATGGTATGCCGCGGTACAATGTTCCTGGTTTTGCTACAATAATTACTAAAAAATTACTGAAAACAATTTTTAGTTCTTTGAGAGGTTATAAATTTAAAAGGGGGAGGGATAGCTAAAAATATTCCTTTACGGAAATAAGTTTCTAGTAAAAATCTACCTACATATAAAATTTCAGCTTTCTATATTCAAGGTGTAGAAGTTTGTAAACATGTCCATGGATGAACGGGCGACTAAGTAAAACTAATAAACACTTTTTTCCGAAATTTAGATAACGGTAAATTTTGTTTTTATGGTCATTTTGTTTTTGAAAAATTCAATATGGTATGCCGCGGTACAATGTTCCTGGTTTTGCTACAATAATTACTAAAAAATTACTGAAAACAATTTTTAGTTCTTTGAGAGGTTATAAATTTAAAAGGGGGAGGGATAGCTAAAAATATTCCTTTACGGAAATAAGTTTCTAGTAAAAATCTACCTACATATAAAATTTCAGCTTTCTATATTCAAGGTGTAGAAGTTTGTAAACATGTCCATGGATGAACGGGCGACTAAGTAAAACTAATAAACACTTTTTTCCGAAATTTTTTTTGGAAAAGTGTAAAAAATATCACTAAATAAAACAAAATGGTGTTATATTTTTAGTCTAGAAGATACGACATAAAATAGTGCTTTTACAATTTCATTACCATTATAAAAAATACGTTGTTTCAAGTTGCCCCCCAAAATAAAAACGAACATACATATGTATGTGATCAAAATATAAAGAAATTTGTAGAAGCTTTTAAAGTTCCTGATGAATTTTAAAGTTTCATTCCTAAAGAATTTTAAATGGCTGCACTGGTTCGGGTAGCTGCCATATAACTCCAAAAGCTTATTTTAAATATTTGGAAAAATAATGAAGTTAGATTCGTGAAACTTGGCATTCCGCAATCGTGTGTCCAATTATATGTCACATATATCCCTTAAATTTTGGTGATATGACTTGACAAGTTCAGCTAATTTTAAATATTCGGAAAATTAATAAAGTCAGATTTATGAAATTCAGCAATCATGTGTCCAATTGTTGTTCGCATATATTTCTGGAGTTTTGTTGGAATAACTGAACAGATTCGGGTAGTTTCCATACTACTCCAAAAGCAAATTTTAATGATTTGGGAAAATAATAGAGTCCGATTCATGACACTTGGCAGTCATGTGTCCAAATATGAGCCCACGCATATCCCTGAAGGTTTGATGGAATGGCCTAACATGTTTGACTAGCTGCCATGGAACTTCAAAAGCTAATTTAAAATATTCAAAAAAATAAGAGTTAGATTCATGAAACTTGGCAGTTGTGTGTCCAATTATAGGTCAGACATATCAATGCAGTTTCTATAGAGTGGTTTGTCAGGTTCGAATACTTGGCATATAACAATGGGAGCTAATTCTAGATATTTCAATGAGAATTCGGTCTCCTACTGAAATGCTTGTACTTGTTTAGTTTTAGAATTGTTGGTACATATGTACATATGTTCATATTTTCGTGAAATGCTGGTTTTATTTATTAAATAAAAAGCTGAATTACAAAATGTTTAAAGACAATGGTTCCGTATTTTAAGAAATGGTTTTTATTAAACTGATTCATGGTAATAGTAGTTAATTAGTGCTAAGAAAAGTTAATTTTTCATTTAACTGCAATTGCGTTTTGATTAATTGAGATAATGTCACAACCATCAAAAGATCTTTGATATTTGAATTAAACATCTGTGTAAACTGCTCATGTGACATATTTGGAACAGAGTGGATTAAATCCAAAATCGCACGACCTACCGCGTTATCAGGTTGTTGTTTGTCATTTACAACGTCATCAACATATGTTAATATCTGATCCAATAAGCTTTGTAGTTTATCTGTAGCTTCTGCAATTTGGGAAAGATCTAGCATTGGTGACACAGTTTTAGGCCGCATTGGGTGCGCTACCCCTAAAGTTTTTTGACACAATTGTAGTCCAACTATTTCTGGCTCGTAGCAGGTTACTTCAACATTAATCGGCGTAAACATACATCCTATTTTCCCACATGGCACTCCCAGCGAAACACAAACATAAGCTTTAAGGCCCATTCTTGCCCCTTGTAAACTGGTATCCACTGTTAAGTGAATTGGATTATTGCATTCACGGGCATAGTATTCGTGAATAACTGAACTGTGATTGGTAACTTCATTTCCTGTAGCCCACCAACCTAAAGAAACTGAAATTAATATTCCTTTCGCTTCTTCACCACGCTATACTAACCAACTATACTTTCATTTGCATTAACTTTTTTGTTTAAGTCGTAAAGATCTAGTGCATAGCTCAATTCCGCTTCAACTTGATCATCATGTTCTTTGTGAGGTACACAAAAACAATTTGTAACTTCAACAATTCCTTTGTCAACTGAACCTAAAATACGAATAGTATACAAATATATGTATGTGCATGAAAACTTCTCGCATTATGCAGTATACACGACTATTTGGTAACTTTAGTTTTTCAAGTACCTAAGAGAGTTCCAATAACGCGATGAGAGTCTGCATTTCGCCTTTCGTAAGCATCAACAATTTGAAATAGTACAACAGGATGAACACGAACAGTTAAATTCAACACAGACATTTTTGCAACGAAAAAATATTAAGAAATCACGTATATTCGTTTCGTTCTGCTTTTAATTTATAAACGTGGACATGTATGGGTTGGTATAACTTAAATATAAATCGATTTTATCGTTGCTCCAAAAAGCACAATCGATTTTTGTGAATATTTTCTTAAAAGTTTTCTCACGCTCATTCAGTTACATTTTACATATACAAATTAAACGATTTAAACTCAGTTTGATGAAAGTCGTATGTCCGAACACTGTTTGAGACGAGATTTTGTCTCATTAGAAATTACTCTATTCCCGTTAGACTTACCGTCAGATATTGTAATATATCACTGGAAAAACTGTGATACTACGTAAGTGCAAATATTTCTAAAAGTACTATCAATTTTCTGTTTAGGAAATGTCATACAATCCATCTTTTAAATTTATGGAAATATGAAAATTATTTAAAGAATAAGTAATTATTTATTAGTTTTTACTGTTTCGTAAATTTAAAAGATGGATTGTTTGACATTTCCTAAACAGAAAATTGGTAAAGTACTTTTGAAAATATTTGGACTTACGTGGTATCACAGTTTTGCCAGCGATATAATAATATAATAATGATAAAATGGCAATTATTATTATGATCGAGGAAGCGAATGGCTAGGTGAGTCGAATGGACTAGGCAAATCGAATGATATTTTAAATTATGATCGGCGAATGCTTTCAGATCCAAAATGTTGCTACTGCAAGACATTAAAAAACCTATCGAAAATAATAAGGTTAACACTACGCATATATTCATTGTTTTTCAAAAACAATTAAATTTTCCTAATCCTATCTCTTTAGCAATTATGGGGTTGTTGTCCATTAATTTATTTAAATGCTCGAATTGTTTTTGGTTCGTTCTTCCACATCCAAATTAATCTTACATAATGAATATTTTTTACAATAATTTGTAAAATTTTATAGTTTAAATTTTTCCATTATGTCACTATAAATGCTTTAATATCCAATAAAAAAAACACTTATAGGATCGCTTCGCCGATCATAATAAGGATCTATTAGTTTGTGAAAGTTTGCAACAACGATCAGCTTAATTTGGTTAACTTTCGCAGCAAACTTATTATATTAATTCACATTAAGTTCGCCATCAATTAATTCAGTCTGATATGAAAACAGTATTAGATTTTACAGTAGATTTATCAAACCTCCATATTGCTGCGACGACGATAGTCATACTAAATGTCAAAATATTATCCAATCCATTGATTTAACACGTTAATCGCCATGTCAGTCATATGTATCTGACGCTAAGAAGTTCTACATGAGCCATGTGAGACATATGTGTCTGACTTACGTGATTTGGCGAAGGCCACGTCAATCACAGATGTCCGACGCAAGCGATACATTTGTATTGTGTTTCTTGTATCTTGTTTGGATGCCTCAGAAATTTAGGACTGACGCGGCTTGTCGAGAAAAAAAGTTTTAATATAGTGCCATGTCAGCATAGACTCCTATAATGTGCAAGACATATTAATATTTTTGTGTTTGTGTCTATTGATTATTGTACAAAACATTAGACTATGTTATTCTTTGGTCCATATATAAATTTCGTACGGCAAATGCTGCGTCGCTGTGCGGTAAAATAATTTATTTGCTGTTTAAAATTTAATTTTAATTTAAATTTAGTGAATAATTATATTAATTTTTCGTGTTATTAAATAAAATGATGATTTATAATATATATATATATAAATTTTCTTTTGTTTTTCATATTTTGTAAGAAACAAAGGTGGATTTTGAAAAAGTAGTACTAAAATTTATTTAAAAAGAAAAATCACTTAATAAATTTGTAAGATTTGGTATACTTTCTAAAGTTTTATTTGTAATCATATTTAAATAAAATATAATAGTATATTTGATTACGTTCATATAAATATAAACGCCCCGAAAGTGTTGCGTCGAAGGATGCAGAAGCAATAGTCTATGAGAAAAGGAGAACGTAAATGCTATACCTACATTTACTTTGCCAAAGAACGAAGTCATCAGGGACAAATGGATACAAGCATTAGGAAAAAGGAGTTCTACACCACCGAAGCGTTTTTAATTTGTAAGAACTTTAAATTTTATTTTGTTGCCTGTGGCAAATATAATTTAATCAAGTACCAACTGATGTTAAGATTTCAACAATTTAAAGTAATTTAGTCTCTTATAAAAGAAAATTAAAATTTTTTGTGAATTTAGTTGAATACATATGTAGGTACATTTATGCCATAAAATGAACTGCTTTTCCCATCAAATATTACTAGTTTTAAGAAACATTCATTAAAAATTTTATTGTTTTATGTAAATACATATGTCATTCAGTTTTTTTAAAAACAATTTTGTTATGTATTTATTATTTCGGGTTTAACTGAAAAATATTTTGTTACCTGTAATTTATTATAATGTAATTTGTTACTTGTAATACGTAACTAGTTTGTAAAAACAAGAAATTTAATTTTGTTAATATTTAAATGAAATAAAATAATTTCTGCATATTTTTTGTATTTAATCGTTTTTTATTTTACAAACATCCCAAATCACCATATGAAACATTTCTAATTTATTCTGAAATAGTTAGTATAAAATATATTTCTTAACAAAAAGTACGATGATCAATTTTCAGTACACCGTATGGATGTATTAGTAAATTGTGTATTGTCAAGTCTTATGTAAAGATATCTGTGCATGTCAGTCATATATGGGTGACATTAAGAAAGGGTTTTTCCCACGAACTTTGGCAAGAAAAAATTTTTCTGTTTATTAAGATTACATTAGGTTTCGTTGATACATTTTTAACTAAATTATCTAATAAAGTTACCATGGCCTATGTGAAAATTTTTCTGGTATTATCGTGGCGATTAAAGTGTTAAACAGGGTATGTTATATTTCTACGACATGCGGCACCAACAGTCGCATCATTTCGGAATATTGAATATTTGTCACTGCAATATGCGATAACAATTGATGGGTAAACTGAAAGGAGAAATTGAAAAATTAAAATAAATTTTTTTAAATTGTTTTTTTAATTATTTAATTAAACTGAATCGCGGAAACGACATTTCTGCGATATTATGTCGACTCTCGTTGTCGTAGCAATGTAAACGCATTAATCTTAGATTTTTTCGTATGTGTAAACAGCAATTGTGTGTATGTTTGGAAGCAGAAATTAAACAGTAATATTAAATTTACGATAAAGACTGATTGTGTTTGCGTATTTAATTGAAACTATTTGATAGACTTCCGACTTTACGTCGAAATTTCCGCAAATTCTTTAACGTCAAAATTTTTTTTTTAGTCTGCAAACTGTCTGACGTATAAAACTTTTACGGACAGAAATGAAGTAAACTCCGACAACTCAGATTTTGTAATATTTGACGTTTAAGAATTTACCATTTAACAATTTGCTACAGTTGTTATATAAAAACCAGTTGCTTGCTGTTTAAAACTTTCGTTGCCATTCTACTTTTAAAAATATAAGAATTAATCTGGTGAGAATAGATTAAACGTGTATCTGATATCATCTTCCAAATCAAGTTTGTTTTGATTTACTAATCGATTTTCTTCAGAGTTATTGGTTTTAAATGTGGTTGAGAAAGTTATGCTAGTAAAACTTGTTAAATGTGCTTTAAAACATGCGCAATTAATATACATTTAAATTTTTCATCCATTCAAATTAAGCAAAATCTTCATTTAGGTTGATGTTTACACAACAAAATGTCAAAATCAAAAAATCGTCAAACTTTCTTAAACGATTCTCGCATTTTAAATTTTGACATTATGTAAGTCAAATATTGCAAATTTGCGTATGCGAAAGTGGCAAATGTGGTGCTACAGAATGCTACTTTCGCATACTTTTCATTCACTTGCTATTTTGTTTACGAATCTTATTGCGAGAATCTAAGTTTTTCCATTTCAAATTTACTGCAATTTACCAAATTTTTTGGTAATTAATAATTATAATTTATTATAGGTCAAAATAAAATACAAAACTATTTCCGTTTAAGAAAAGAGCAAAATGGCACTATTTTTGTACTAACTAAACAAATTTGTTTCGCTTCTCTTTTCTCGGCTTTGCTCCTTTACAGTTTTATTTTTATGGGACTGAACTTTTCATCAATAGGCTTACAAAATTCGGTTATAATAAGTAAAATGGTTTGCTGAGCAAGAGCAAAAATACTCAAATCTTAATCTGCATAAAAATCTTTTGCTATTCATATTTGTTTAAAAAATTTATAACAATCGCCTCCTTAACGTTGAGCCTCATTCTAGTTGCCGAAGTAGAGCGACAATTGTTGTTACGACTTGAATTTGGTATTCTAAGCGGCGATCGCAGTGACAGTTGTCGGGGAATAGCGGGAAAATGTGTTTCAGCCATATTCCAGTTGTCGTTTTGATGCGAGATATGCAGTAGTGAAACGACGTTTTTTGTCGAAAAGAATCTAACAAGTGACAAGCAAGAAGGATACACCAAAAATGCAAGTTAAAACAAAACAATTTAACAAAATCATAAAAAAAATTAATTTTATACATAAATTAAATCATAAAATATATAATTTAGTTTTTGTTTTTAGCGTGAAAGTATTTATAAATTTGAAAAATTGGAAATTTCATGACAAAGAACGCCTTTTACGGGTTCTCGTTTTTCCCTCGAAAAAAATCTGTGAATAAAATAAAATGTTTGTAACTAAGTTACTTGAACAAATTATTGTATTGGCTTACACTCCATTTGGCAAATCCAATGGATTAGAGCTGTCGCTAATCTTAAATCTTTTGATCCTTAATTGTTTTTTTTTTTAATTTCATCACCGTAAACCATAATGCAAATGACATTTTTTGTTATATAAAAATATAAATATACTGAAAATTTTTTTAGTTTCAACTTCACTCGTCAAAATTTCTTTTCAAAATATATCAATTTCACTTGAAACGTTTCATTTTCGATTACTTCTTGCACTCACGTCACTCTACAATCAGAGTACTACATTTCAAATGGTGTGACAGCGACAACGCCAAATGTCACGGAAGTGACGCAACAACTAGAAAAGTTTCATTATTATACATACATTTCATG